TTCTTTTTGATTTTGCGAATGCAGAGGGACATGAAAGAACAGAGATTTGATGATGTAGAAAAGATGAAGAAAAAAACAAGGGAGGTGCTGCTGGCCACCCAAACAGATGAGCTTGAAAAATGTTTCCAAGAATGGAATAACAGATTTGACAAATGTATTAAGTGTAATGGCGAGTACTTTGGAAGGTGGTTTTGTACAAAAATTCCATTTTGGGGGAGAGGGTACCCCCTCATATAAGGAATCTCAAAGTTACTTTAATTGTGAGCTCATTAGTGCTCATTTTACAATAAGGTTTATTTTGATATACAAGTGGGTACATAAAGAAAAATGGAATTTTTTTTTTTCAAAACTGATGCACTGCGATGGCTGCGTGAGCAGATGGATTGTGGTGGTGGCAAAACCAGTCCCCTGCCTGCCACAGATCAGGCCTTTTTTGTTGCACACGGTTATCTGACCTTTTTACAACCTCTAAATAGAAATCGTGATTAATGTCTGACCCGGTTAACAAACTGCAAATGCATTACGAGTCAGCATTTTCATCTGATCAGGAAGCGAGGTTCCAGGGAAACAGCCTTTACGAAAACATTAACTGTGACCAGAGAGAACCCTCTCGGGCAACGCCATTGGGTGCACTACTCAGAGTGAGTTGCTCGATGCTCGCCTACAGGGAAAAATACATACTACGACTGCTCCACTCTGCCCAACTCAATTCCAGTTTTTTGACGGGTACCCTCTTGTGTTGACAAACTGCTTTACAGATGTCTTAAGGCTGTATTGCTCTAAGATTAAAGCCTAGACTCAAGTCTATGTGGAAAAAGAAGATATCTTAGGCAGGAACAATAAAAATTAGCTATTTTTAAATCTAAAACTCTTCACCTCTCATTTACTAGTTTTCTAACAGTTTTCTGCATTGGCAAGTCTGCTGCTGCAGCAAAAAAAAAAGTGTTAAAAAGCAAAGCTGTTACCTGAGGATGAAAGCGTTCCTGACCCAAGTCATGGTATTTCCACCCAGCCGAGAGGCCTGAATGGAAAAGCCGGGCAATGACCGAGGAAGACCTAAGAAGAATCAAGTCTTTGAATAAAATGTTATTGAAGAATATTGAAAATACCACGAACTGCCAGAAGGACAAACAAATAAATTTAAAAGAATTAAAGCCAGAATGCTCCTTGAAAGTGTGTCTTGTGTATTTTGAACGTATTATCAGGAGGGACCAGTCCTGGGAGAAAGGACACTATGCTTAGTAAAGCCGAGGGTCAATCAAAAGGGGAAGCTGCACAGTGAGGTGGGTTGACATGTGACTGCAACAGTGGGTTCAGACATAACAGTTGTGAGCGTGGTGCAGAACTGGCCCGTGTTCTGTTGTGTTGCACCTTGCGTTGCTATGAGTTGGAACCAATTGAATGGCACCTTACAACAACGACATTTTTTTAACGAGAAAATTACCCACAGCAAACATTTACAGAGCTAGATATGTAATACAAAAGTGTCTGAATAAGGTAGAATTATTTTTAGGTTTGCTTATTTTCATGTGAAGATTTAGCTTGTAAATGCTGTCTGTTGATTATACTGTCTGAATAATGTGCTAAAAGAATTTTTTGTTAATGTGAACTTTTAAAGCTTGCCTACAAATTTTAAATCTAGATTTTCAGTGCATTTTCAAATTAGTATCAACATATTTAGTCTAAACTGCCATTCAAAGTGTGTGTATAGCCATATACTACAAAACTGCTGACTTAGTATAAAGTATCTCTTTAACCTGTTATTCATAAAATGAAGAATAGTGGAAAGATATTAAAATGTTTATTTTGTTTAATTAAAATAGCTCTAAAATAACATACTTTTTTTCCCCAAAGCATTTTTAATCACAAAACTATAGAAGTTTTTGTGGAAAATATAAACAAGTTCAGCCATAAAATTTTAATCCGCCATATCTTACCGGAGATAACTCCTGGATACATTTGATGCACTTTATTTCTATTGTTTTTATTTGCATGTACTTTTTACATGATTGAGATCATTAAAAATGTGCAATTTGGTTTGTTTTTAAATTTAACATCATAATCTAAAGTTTTTCACATCTTGAAAGTTTTGTAGCATAATATTAATAGGTACAGGTTGTTGCTGAATGTAGCTATACCATAAAATAAAAATCATTTCATGATCACTTTATATATATCGACCACTGTGCCTAGGTATCTTACACCATCATATATGACCCTCAGAGCAAGCCTGTCAGACACAAGGGAGCTTCAAAAAATTGGTGGTAAACTTTCATTTTTTCCATGAATTTGAAAGAAAATAGAATCTTTCCCATTAACTTTCTAAAACTCTCCCTTACTCTTATTATTTTCCTTACCCTTATTTTTATTTGCTAAAATTTTCAGGACTTTGGAGTATGACCCAATCATCTGCCTTTTTTTTTCCCTCCAAAATTAACACATCTTACCAGAGCGCCTTCATAATTCAACTCCCGAAAGGCTCTTAGCTAACAATGTTGAACGTACTTTATAAAGACAAAATTTACTTGCTTAGGCTAACTGGTAGTTTTTGTTGTTGTTTTCATATCCAATTTTATGCTTCATAAAATCTTACTTAAACAGGACTAGAAAACTCTTGGCTCAGTTTCCACTCTGGTAGAAAAGTGCTTTAAGCGAGCATGGCATACCTCTGGAGTAATTCCAGTTGGAGAAAGAAATTGAAGTGGTCGCTCACTTTTTCTTCTTAGCTGGTCCAACTAATAGTCATCAGATAATCTTTTTAAATATGTACTTCTTAGCTCAAAGATATAAAGAATGAAAATTAGCTCCAGTCATTTTTTTTTATGCCGTCAGTCATGAATGTTTTTTGCCCCGAGGAAAAGGGAAAATGTAGGTGAGTGCTACAAAGAACTATGGTACATTATCACTATACTCCCAATGGGTTGAGCTGAACTGGTACTAGAGGCTAATACCCATTTTCTGTAAGGACTGTAGTAATGTTGTATCTAAGACACAAAGTTGATCATCATGTAGTAGCTTTTAGAAAAATGACCCAAGCAAAAAAGAGAAAGGAAACAGAATCTGAAGGTTATATAAAATGGAAAGACATTAAAATATAAGTCTTCATACCCAGTTCTGTCATTTCTCATACTGGAAAGAACTGTAATTTAAAAGGAAAGGCTGCATTTGGCATTTGAACCTGGCCCGTCCAAAGTGCCATAGCAACAATTGAGGCCAGAAAAGAAATTAATCAGCCGACACTAAGAAATATATTGAAGTAAACTTTCATTGCTGTCATACTAGTCTGGGTAGACTAGAGAAACAAATTCATAGACACACTCATGTGTATGGGAAAGAGCTTTAGATACAAGAACAATTGAATATTGAGAAAATATCCCAGCCCAGTCCAGATCAAGTCCACAAGTTTGATATTAGCCTACATGTCTGACACCAATCTATAAAGTCCTCCCAGACTCACAAAACACATGCAAAGACGCCGAATGCAGGAGAATCACAGGCCACAGGCCAGTTGGGTGGGGAGTCTTGTGTGTCCAGTGGCATTGTAAGTAGCTCAGCGTTGGCAGGGTCTCCACGTGGCTTCTCCAATTCCCAGGGCATGGGGCGTCTGTCAGCATTGTGCCATGTGTCTTGTCAGTAGAGCATCTCTCAGGGTGTGAGCAGAGAGAGAGAATGTCTCCCGCCTCCAAAGAGGAAAACATAGGAGTTCCCAGAATTCTCAGGAGAAGGCCATTTCCGCACAGAGAGGCCTGATTGCCTATAATCCGATTGACAGACTAGACGCCACCCCTTCACTCTTAATTCTCTACATCCCAAATTGACACCGGATTATGTAACTACCACAACCGTTAAATTTTTTTTGGTAAGAAACTTATACATTGTGTAATATATGTTGCTTGGGCGATTAAATTTTATTTGAATCTTTAGTGATAGCCAATATAGGACTTATATCCATTCTGGTAGCTTACTTAAGTGTAAGATGACCAATAAAATGATAACATGATGCTTATGTTGTTGCTTTGTGATACTGTTAATTTGACTTCATCTATTAAGTAGTAAGGGAGACTATAACTGACATTTTGTAATTATTTTTAAATTTTATTTTTAAATCAATTTATTGGGGCTTATACAATTCATCACAATACATAGATCAATTGTGTAAAGCACATCTATACATTTGTTGCCCTCATCAGTCCCAAAATTCGCTAGCCTCTAATTTTCCTTTTTTCCCCCCTCCCCTTCCCTTCCTCCTCCCCTCTCCCCCATGCACCCCTAATAATTTATAAATTATTATTGTATCTTGTATTACACTGTCCGGCGTCTCCCTTCACCCACCCCTCCGCTGCCCGTTCCCCAGAGAGGAGGCCACACGTAGCTCCCTGTGATCCATTCCCCCCTACTACATCCCCTTTCCCTCCTGGTATCGCCACTGTCAGGACCAGGGGTGACAGTGGCGACATTTTGTAATTTTTAAAGCTTTGAGACAAAAAATATATTACCATCGGGTCAGTTTTTTCAGAGTTAGTTGAAAATAGTTTATTCTTAAACGAATGGAATAATTAAACCTGTCTGATCTTAAAAGATTATTATTCATGTTTGAAATGTCACTGTTTAAGAAATTTGTTCCTTGGATTTATACATATTTTTGTATACAACCACTTGTTATAAATTGATCATGCAGATACAAATGGGATTACAGTTTTGAAATATCACTACTGTGATGCAACCAAACTAGGCCTTATCTAAAAGGTTAATTTTTTAAAGCATGTCAACACATTCCAATAGTTCATTTTTAATGTTGCCTTACTGAGGTATATTTTATTATTTCTCTAAGACAAGTTGGCACGAAATGGATGTAAGTTCAATTCTCCTTGATGTAGTGTGTGGTGTGTATTTCCAGGGAACAAGGAGTTGTGGATCTTACTGAAACAGTACTTCACCAACATCTTGTTGATTGGTCATCAGACTTTAAAATAAATAAATTTCCTTTTTTGTGTTCACAGGAAACCTGTCCAGTTTAAGTCGTCTTGGTCTGAGATATAACAGGCTGTCAGCAATACCCAGATCATTGGCAAAATGTAGTGCCCTCGAAGAATTAAATTTAGAGAACAATAACATTTCTACGTTACCAGAGGTAAGAGGTGGACGAGAGAAAACTTTACAAAGAACTGTGCAGTAGAATGAGGGGATCCACTTGGACTGGGATCACTGAAATAATGAGTATGGGACGGAATAGCCTCCCAAAAGATAAACATTATAAGTGAGAAAGAAAAATTCCAACGTTCCTAATACAACCCTTTTCTCTACTGAGGAGAAGAAACCCAGGAAGAAAAGCAGCCTGTCATTTGCCTTCACCCTGACTTAGACTCGTGTGAGTGAAAGTAGAACTGCTCCCCAAAGGGTTTTCATGGACTGATTTTTCTGAAGGACCTTGTCAGCTCACTTCTTTTGAGGTGCCTCCAGATGGACTTGAACCTTGAACATTACAATTAGCAGTTTAGCTTGTTAACTGTTTGTACCACCCAGGTTCTCCACTATCCCTTTTAGTACCATATAAGCGTTCTCGCATCCTTGTGGAAAAGTTGTAAGGCTTCTTTTAAAGCCAAACTACCCTCTCCAGTTTAATTGTTAAAAGATAGGATGATAATGAATAAACGAGATAGGACATATTATCAAAATTACTATTAACTGTAATTTTCTTCTGACCATATTATTACCCTGTTTATGAAATAATATTAAAGCCTATTTAGTACATACCAATCACTAAATCTGTTATTTTTTTTAACACATTTTTATTTTGGGTTTTCTTGGTTCTATTATAATAATGTATTTACTTATTTTACTTATGGATTAATTGAGTAGGATACAATTTTTTATAAACAAAATATTGTCAACATTGTTTATTATTATTTTACCTTTTGCCTTTCACGGTCTACTGTTTTAGCATAGCAACAGCTTAAGATATCCTTTCTTATTGTTAATCCAATTTAGTATCTTATAGTAGTATTCTAACAAAAAAATCGTGGACTTATGAATTGATTGTAGGATCTTTTTAAAAAATATTAAATAAGTTATATATGGGTAGCTCCATTTAACATGTTTGTTGCTAAAGCCTATTGTGTTTTAACTGTTGCTATGCTTTGAGTGCGTGCAAATTCAAACTTCACATATGCATATGAATGTGAGTATATATATGGATTGACATGTATGAGTGAAGATGCTTGGCCAGCTTTAGTAAGGTTGAAAACTTTGATATTCTTATGCTTAAGAGTGAATCTGGAAATTCAAGTTCTTTTTGTCAATGAAAAGAAATTAGTAGTTAATGGGTACCTTTTTGGACAGCAGTTCTCAACCTGTGGGCCGCGACTCCTTGTGGGGGGCGGTGTCAAATGGCAACCTGTGAGTCATGACCCCTTTGGGGGTTGAATGACCCTTTCACAGGGGTCACCCAACACCATCAGAAAACACATTTCCGGTGGTTGGGGGTGGTCACTACAACATGAGGAACTATATTAAAGGATCACGGCATTAGGAGGGTTGAGAACCACTGTTTTAGGAGCACTAGTGGTGTGGTTTTGTGTTGGGCCGCTCACCACAAGGTCAGCAGTTCAAAACCATCAGCTGCTCCGAGGGAGAGGAAAAACAAGGCTTTTTTACTCTATTAAAGATTTATAACCTCGGAAACCCACAGGGACAAGGGCAGCTTTACCCTGCCCTATAGGGTCACTATGAGTTGGAATCAGCTTGAAGGCAGTGAATATGGGTTGTTTTTTTAGACATTGTGCTAGATACCTTTATATACTGTATATACTTGAGTATAAGCCAACCCGAATATCAGCCGAGGCACCTAATTTTACCACAGAAACTACATTTAAAATGTGCTGGAAAGAACTTGGCTTATACTCAAGTATATACGGTACATTATTTTGTAACGGAAAGAAATCAAGATTTACCTTTGCCAAAGAATTCTAAAGACGATAGCTCGCTTCAGTTTGGATGTTGAAGGTGTGTGTGTTTGTAAAGGGACCCATTTTCAGAAGAGAAGCAAGGAGGGAAGAAGACCTTGATTGGCCTTTTTGAAATATGGGAAAGCATTATTTAGAAGTAGTCTGTGTGCTTTGGAAGCAACATATTCTTAGTGCAAATATGTAATTATCTGCATTTATAATAAACACAATAAGGAAAGCAACAAAAATCCATTAGAGAGCACTTAACGAAACATTCAAGCTGGGTTAGGCAGAAAAAAAATCAGGAAGTGGTTTTCTATCGGACTGGGACTCATGGTGCTGAAACCAGAGCCAACAGAATGACACTATGCTTTTTCTATTTGAATACTATCTAGAAACTAGTCCTAATGGAGCCATATATACACAAAGCAAATAAATCTAATCAATTTACGAACATACTGTGCTCAAGGCATAAGACTATGAGCTCTACATGTATTATCTTTTTATTTAATTTTCATAATAATCTTAAATTTGTTGCTAGGCGTTTCATCTGATAGATCAACAAATAGCTTAAAAGTAGTTATGCTTTAGCCCATTTGTTACCAGTTATGCAGATAATTTTCACATTTGCACTCAATATTTTTCTGGGAATACAATCTGAGTTTATTAATTATTTTAATAGTAATAATTCATCAGAGGCCATAAAGCTGGTAAACAAGATTTGAGGTAGAAACCCAGATGTTTGACTCAAGCAATAATAAGGATCCCAAAAGTTTCACAATACGACCTACAGACCTAAAAATGAAAGGTGGGAGACTTGTCATATTGTTGACCCTTCTCTTCAAGCCAGGTATCAGCATTTCTCATCAAAGTAGATCCATTCAATAAAGTCCGTTGCAATAGGAACGGCATTTTTGCATAAAATTCTTTGTCTCCTTTCTTTGCCATGAAGTAGAATAGAAACAGTCTTTTTCTTGAATTGGCTATCATGCAGCTTTCTTAGCACCACTCATACTTGTGCTCTTTCTTTTGTCTCTGTACAATAGACGGATATTAAGAGAAAGTTTCAGTGCGTCGTATAATTATACCTTCTGTGAAGTAGTTATTTCAGCCCTATCGCTGACCTTACAAGTCACAGTGACATATCAGATGCCATGTCTTCAAGTGAATCTTGGTAGATGACTAACGTCTTGCTTGTACTTTCATTCTAATCTAAGATGCTTTTCCCCCTACTTTTCTGCATGTATATATAATAAATATCTGAAATATAAGAAATAAATAAATATTTATTTATTTATCTAGCTCACTCTCTCAACCTTCTTTCAGTTTTTCCAGTTACTCCAGTATTTCTTCTTTTCTTTGAATTTAAGTAGATTTAAGTAGAGAAGGGATTTGAAGTTTATGCCTATTGTTGTAAAGCCATTTATAGATTTCTTCTCTTTTAGTCTTTGCTATTGTTGCTAGATGCTTGTGAGTCAATTCCAACTCATATTGACCCACTCCCCGCATCGAGTATCCTAGGTCGCACCTGATGAGAGCAGATTGCCAGGTTTTCCCTCCTGTGCAGTGGTGGTGGGTTCCAACAGTGCCTCTCGTCTTCCCTAAAACCTGTGACATCATTTTACATATGAATGAACTAAGATCCAGAGAAGTTCATTGCGAGCAGTGACAATAGTGACTGTCCCTCTGAAATTTATTATCATTTTGTGTATGGAACTGCTTCTTATACCGATTAAAGTTTTGTTACAGTTCTAATTCTTAATCTTGATTTTATTTTTTACAGACTCTTTTATCAAGTCTTGTGAAACTGAATAGTTTGACCCTAGCCAGAAATTGCTTTCAGTTATATCCAATGGGTGGCCCCTCTCAATTTTCCACCATTTATTCTCTTAACATGGAACACAATCGCATCAATAAAATCCCATTTGGAATTTTCTCAAGAGCAAAAGTATTAAGTAAGCTGAATATGAAGGTAAGCTTGGGTGTTCTTTTGGGAGAGGGGCACTAGAAACCTACTGTTGACAGTACTTTTGCTAACATTTATGCTTCATCATGGTGTGGGGAAAGGTCCTCATGCTTTGCTGATAAAACCGTAGCCAGCAGTTTGGAACAGCCATGTGCTCCTCAGGAGCAAGATGAGGCTTTCTACTCCTCCAAAGAGTTACAGTCTCAGAAACCCACAGGGGCAGCTGTGAGTCAGAATCTTGATGGCAGTGAGTGTAACAAGTAATATATCCATGGAATGCTGTGGAGCTATTAGAAATAGTATCTAAAAAAGTTAATGCACTGGCATATTGTAGTCAAACTATCCAAAAATGACAAGGAAAAAATTCTAAAAATGTTAAAGCACATAAGAATCTTTTCTCACAAATATATTTTTTAATCGTTTTATTAGGGGCTCATACAACTCATCACAATCTATACATACATCAGTTGTGTAAAGCACATTTGTACATTCAGTGCCCTCGTCATTCTCAAAAATTTGCTCTCCACTTAAGCCCCCGGCATCAGGTCCTCATTTTTCCCCTCCCTCCCTGCTCCCCCCTCCCTCATGAGGCCGTGATAATTTATAAATTATTATTTTGTCATATCTCGCCCTGTCCGACGTCTCCCTTCGCCCACTTTTCTGTTGTCCGTCCCCCAGGGAGGAGGTCACATATAGGTCCTTGTAATCGGTTCCCTCTTTCCAACCCACTCTCCCTCTACCCTCCCAGAATCGCCACTCACACCACTGGTCATAAAGGGATCATCTGCCCTGGATTCCCTGTGTTTCCAGTTCCTATCCTCACAAATATTTTTTAAGAACTCTTTTTGATATGTTATTTAACATGTTAAATGGTCCTACTCCTCATATATCGACGGTCTTGTTATCTGAATTCTACATTTGAGACAATATGTTGATATGTCTGTTGGTACCAAACACTGAGTTGTGCTGTGCTTGGTAAGTGTTACTCTGGCTGTGAATGATTTGTAGCAGTTTGGCAATTATGTATTGATATAATTTCACAGTTAGGCAATGGCGTAGCAACGGTCCATTTTGTGATCAGATGTTGAAATCCTGTTTCCCCTCACAGTGATCTTCCCATAGCAACTGTGTCCTTACACACACACACACACACACACACACACACACACACACAGTTAGTCTCAGAAACACACAGGGGCAGGACGACCCTGCCCTGTAGGGTCAGTAAGAGTTGATAGCGTCTCAATGGCAGTGAGTGTTTGAGTTTATGTTTATCTTTGGACATCAGAATCATTTATGGGCATTTGTTAGTTTCATTTTTTTTTATTCCCTGTATTCCACAGTGAATGAGGTTTACATTTGTAATAAGAAAAAAGTAGTGATTGCAAAAAAAGGAAATAAATGAAAAATAATCTAGTCCAGTTTGTTCTTTTGTAGTGAACAAAGTTTCGGTCCAAGAGCAGATAACTGATTTGACACTACACCACTGCCTTTGAGTTGATTCCAACTCACAATGACCCATACAGGGTTTCCGAGGCTGTAAATCTTTATAGTAGTAAATAGGCACTTTCACCTGTGGAGCAGCTGGTGAATTTGAATTGCCAACTTGTCCTTAGCATCCCAGTGCTTATTCCCCAGTATTACCAGGGATTCTGTGACTCACATTCTAAAATTAAAACTTATTAATTGTACACTTTTTCATAGATGTAGTGTTGTGTTGCATCTCTTATAATTATTTGAGGTATATAGTGAACTAGTTGAAATTCAAGATAATCTTGTAATCTTGAAGAAATATAAAATGTGTTGTTACTCAGTTGGTTATGTGTGAGATTCAGTAGCAATAATGCCATTAATTCTTAATACTCAGTTTGTAATGACAGGCTCAGAGACAGTGGTCCAGGTGTTCATTAGTTTTGCCTTGATATACATTTTACGTAGTCCTGGTGTTACTACACTATGTTAGTTTCAAAAGGTTTGTTGTTTACAAGGAAATAAAAATAAAGCTTTGCATAGAGCCTTGCCTTAAGTTTTCTTTAATATCATGACAGATGCTTGACAAAGCAACTTCATGAAAGTAGGCAAAATAAAGTCTGACAGTTTCTCCTTATAAGCATTTTGTTTTATAAACATCAATAATACATTTTTTAAAACTATACTTTCTCATACCATAACTTTGAGTACTTAGGCCATAAAAATCTTGCTTACAATAGGTAACATGTTTGAATATTGTATTAAAAGAAAACAAATAGTTTAGGCATGAATGTTTGCTACTTGTTACTTCATGGATTAATAAAATGGGCAGGTAATCCACATGCCTTTCAAAAACAGAATATGCAGGTAAGAGAAGGTGACATAAAAAAAAATCTCATCACCGTTAGCATTTTGACGTGTATTACTGATACCTAATTGGAAAAAGGGAACTAAAGGCTCCAATACTCCCAACACATCGATAAGAATTGTTCTTATGGAAGTGTTTATGAGTGAATGGTGTTGAGGCAGGAGCAAAGGTAGTGAATATCTGCTCCTCTCTAATCAGCATAGTTAGCTTCCAAACACCAGGATGCAAACATTGGTGTGATTCAAAAATGGAAGGTGACCACTTTATTACATACTGCCAGACCACCTCATCACATAACTTATCAACTTGGGAATCCTGGTGCAGCCAATTGGTCACATCGACTGAACTGTCACAGGCAGCATTACTCTTGTTTTGCACCCCAGTAGTCCTTACTGCCTAATGCATATCATTAATGCAAAAACTAGCCTGATAGGTTGTTTTTAAACTATTGTTTTTAACAAGAAATGTTAAATAATGAGTTAGTTGATAAAGCAAGGAATAAGTTTAACATATTTCACTATTTTGCACCATGTGTACAGCTATGCCCCCTTTTTTAAAAAAAAACAAACCACTTCACCTAACTAATATGATTTTATTATTTAACGTGACCATTTTCTTAAGAATTTTAGCTAAGATTAGAAAAACTAATGGGATTTAATTAGCTAAGTAATTCGTTGTTCTGAGTTTTGTTTTTCTTCTCTGACTCGACTAGTAGCGTCTCTGGAACCACTGTGTTCACTTGGCTTTCCATGCCAGCTCTGATCGGCTGTTTCCTCTTCCATTGTGCTCGTGTCTTTATTCGCGTTTTCACACTTAGGCAGTGTCTTTTACATGTTATTGTGAAGGAGAGAAAGCATTACATTTACCACTAGGCTCTTTGAAATCTCAGGTGTTGCTTTGTATAGTATACTTTTCCATTTTTATTATAGAATCAAATAAAAATATTAATCATGTGAAATTTTAGAGGCATAAAGTTTGTGTTTTCTATATTTAGATATCAGAAAAGGGAATCAGGTTTTCTGTTTTAAGAATTATCTTTCTAAAGGACAATATATTTGGGTTTTGTTTTTGTGGATTTTTGTCTTTAATATTTCATTTTTTTTCTTTGCTAGGACAATCAATTGACGTCTCTTCCCTTGGATTTTGGAACTTGGACCAGCATGGTAGAATTGAATTTAGCCACCAATCAGCTGACAAAAGTCCCTGAGGATGTGTCTGGTCTTGTTTCTCTTGAGGTAACTATGAAAGAACAACTGGGACGACTCAGACCCTCCCAGGCATCTGCCCTACAGAGCACATCTTAAATGCGCAATCTCTGTTTGGATGAGCGACCTCACTGGAAATCACAGACATCTCTAACCATACAACCCGATTAGGAGGGTGAGGTGTAGATTTCGTCAATCTAAGATCGATGTTTGTGAACCTTTTTGCCCACTAAACAGATGATAGATTGGGTTGAGTGCAGTAAGGTATCTTTGAAAGTAAAGATTCCTGAAACATAACATCTTTTACTATATATGGTTTTCTTAGAACTCTTCAAGTACTGTACCCTCTCTGCCACAGTAACCATGGATTCCTAGTTTGGTATTCAGAACTGTTCATCATAAGCCTTTGTCTTACATTTCCATCTTAATTACCCACATAATATGGCTTTATTACCAATCAAATAAATTTCTTTGTTAGTATGTATATTTCTAACTTTGTACACTGTGGAACGCCATCTTCTCATCCCTTAATTTTACATTTAAAATTGTTTTCCAAAATTAAGAATAATATAATTGTCCCTATTTGTTCAATCTTACTCCTCTTCTCTGAATTCCTAGAGTTTCATGTTTGTACCTCTTTTGATGAAAAAGCTTACTAATAGTATATAAATATATTTCCAATTTTTCTACTATATTAAGGTGACCAGACATCCCGCTTTGGGCAGCACAGTCCTGATTTTTAACAATTTTTCCCACGTCCCGCGGTGTTTTAAAAAAGTCCTGATTTTTGGAAAGAATACACGACAAGCTAGGGTATACGATTTTCGGCTGCCATGTGACTATTTCGCCAGGATATGAGTTTTATCAATAGTGTCCCGCTTTACCAATGTTAAAATCTGGTCACCTTATACTATATTCATGTTTCAAAAATACTAATTTATTTATACTTTTATTATTTATAAATTCAAATAAAATCATAAGCTTTGAAGCCAGGCAGATCTGGGTCCACTTCTAATTTTATCTCCTTGTTATGGGTTTATTCAGCTCGGTTCCTTACCTGTGGATTGTAGATAACAATGATTACCCTATAGAACTGTTCTTAGGATAAAATATCTAGGCGCACATGAAACAGGCCAATGTCCTACTAATATTAAACCCAGTGAAGTACAGCTATTACGGTTTTCTTGGACTTAAACTGTATGCATTTATTTTAGTATTCTGATAGTGCCAGTGATGACTCACAATGTTCCTCTTCACAGTTATGTTTGAACCCATCTTAGAACTCTGTGTTAATCCATTTTGTTGAGTCTAACTCTTTTTCACTAACCTTCTACTTCACCAAGCATGATGTCCTTTTCCAGGGACTAGTCTCTCCTGATATCATATTCACAGTACAGGAGATGAAATCTCTCTAAGTAGTATTCTAGTAATTTTTCCAAGACAGATTTGTTATTCTGATAATCCATGCCACCAAAACCATAAATGAAATGCACCAACTAGTATGTGATTCCTTATTCGTTGTTCAGCTTTCATATGCACATAAGGTGACTGAAAATACTACCATTGCTTGGGTAAGGCGCACCACAGCCCATCAAGTGACAGCTTCACTCTTTCAGACTTTAGCGAGGACTTTTCTAACAGATTTGCCCAGGGTGACACACCATTTGACTTCCTGCTGCTTTCTGCTGCTTCCGTGAGCATTGACTGTGGATCCAAGTAAAATCAAATCCTTGACAACTTTGATATTTTCACCTTATGAGGATTTGGGTTTTCTTTATATTGCGGCATAATCCACACTGAAGGCTGTGGTCTTTGATCTTCATCATGAAGTGATTCAAGTCCTCTTTGCTTTCAGCAAACAGGGTCGTCATCAGCTTATCTAAATTGTTAATTAGTCTTCTTCCAGTCCCAATACCTGTTCTTCATATAGTCCAGCTACTTGAATTACTTGCTCAGCATACAGATTTAATAACTATGGTGAAGATGGCATAATTTTGAGAGAAGAGAAATGAGCGCAAAAACATTAGCCAAAACTGTTTGTAGATCTTTCGCTAACCGCACTAACCTCTTATCCATTATTATGCCCCCAACCTCAGATTGTAACTTCTTGCGAATAAGCATATCTTCCCCAATCTTTTTACCTCTCTCATCAATGTCTTGCAGCATGTCTTTCAATATGATATATAAACCCTGTATTAGATCGATATATAGGCAGTTTAAAAGTCAGTTGTTACCTTTCTTAAATGACTATATAAGGTTTTGAATAATTGATCTTCTATTGTGATAGACATTTTAGTCATTCATTCTCAAAATGCCATTTGTGTGAATCTTTGGGCAAAGAGTAATTTTCTTTGAAAAAAGAAAGAAACAAAGAAGAAAGAAAGAAAAAACTGTTCAATTTTAATGATTTCTGGCCTGGGTGAGACCCCTGAAGGCAGGATGGAAAAGGAAGGACAAATGAAATGGTGGGCACAGGAGGAAGAGTCAGAAGAGTGACGTTACATGGATATTGCCAGCAATGTCATGAAGCAACATGGATGGGAATTCTTGTGTGGAAATAAACTTTGTACATTTAATTCCAATCACAAAAACTTAAAAAATCCTTCCCTTTTACTTTCACTAATACTGACTTAAGTAAAAATTCTTGCATTATTTTTAATAACTATGGGTGTTTTTTTTAAAGTTAAATGTTTTACCTAATTGGACATTACCCTCAATAGTCACTGTTGTGGGAAATTAAAATTGCTTAATATGTTAAGCCACAGAATAATGATTACATAACTCTATTTCCTGAATTGACAAATGCTGTCGATATTTTCTCCTAGGTTTTAATATTATCAAACAATCTTCTGAAGAAGCTTCCCCATGGTCTGGGAAACCTTAGGAAGTTAAGAGAGTTGGATTTAGAGGAGAACAAACTGGAATCCTTGCCCAATGAAATTGCTTATCTTAAGGATTTACAGGTAAAATACTATGATTTATAATTGTATGATTAAATTCTTTGGACTCCATTCTAAATTGCTTGTATTCTTTATGGAGTAGGTATAATTCTGAGATAAGAGTTTTCTTTTAAGTCATTGACAGGCTGAGTTATATGTTCAAATTAGTTATATGTTCAAATTAAAACTTCAAAAAGTTCATGGAAACATTCAATTATCTTTTTTTGCCCCCAGCAGTTTTTTAGACACTATTGTTCCCGTAGCATACAATTAATTCATGAGTTCAGACCCATCACGAAGAGTTGTACAATCATCACCACAATACGTTTTAGGACATTTTCTTCATTCTTGTACTCATCGTTAATAGCTCCCCATTTCTCCCCAACCTCCCCTGCCACACCCCAAATTCCATTATCTTTTGAGTTAATTTCTCTACAGACTTTTGAGCATCCTCTGTAATCTGTCTTTTCTTGACAAGTGAAATTTTGGAGAGAAAAATCTACAAATTACAACCTACAAATTAGTAATGAATAATTCACAATTTATTGTATTGGTTTAGTAGATGCACAGTTTTACGTATGCATCAGCTATAGGAGATCTATATGTAACTGTCTTTTATTTTGTTAATCTTTTAGAAATTAGTCTTGACAAACAACCAGTTGGCCACTCTTCCTAGGGGCATTGGTCACCTTACCAGTCTCACGCATCTAGGCCTTGGAGAGAATCTACTTACTCATCTTCCTGAGGAAATTGGTATGAACCCTTTGAATGCTTGACTTTGTGCTAACGCATCTCTTACGTGTTTACGCAGTGTTTCTGATGAGCAAGACATACGTGTTTTTGTAAATTAAGGTTATATCAGGCTCAATTTCTTTTTTTAATTGAGCACTAAAAACTACTTATCCTAACACCCCATGAGAGATTTTATTGGGTAGTATTTCAGAATATTTAATTTCTAACAGGTTTTATATATAAATTAAATTAAAAATAATTATATTTCAAATTTAGAAATTACCTAAGCATGAATTAAATGAAAATATTGTCATTGTTTTATATAATCAGCTGATCATTTTTGAATTTTAAGTAGTACAAGCCCTAATCTTGTTTTGTTTTTTTAATAAAGAGTTAGTTCCTTGTTGTCGCAGAGTAAGTAAAAGTATTGGTTCTTAAATTGGTCATTCCATGTGTTATTATTTTGTCTGATGTATACCATGTTGTCCCAGAAGCACTATAGAATTAGTGGTTAAGAACAGATCTTGGAATAAAATAGTATCCAGCCATACTGTGTACTGGCCTTGTGAAATTTGGATAAGGTACAAAATCTCTAAGCCTCAAGTTTCATATTTGTAAAATAAAAATGATAATGGTAACTTCTCATAAAGGTTGCATTGAAGATAAAATAATATCTTAAGGTAAATCAATTCATTACCTGCTAGCTGTTATTTTATTTGACTTCTGCCTACTACTGCCTAATACTTTAAATGTTGAATTTTAAATGTCGGCGGCACATGGGCAGCTTTACATTGGTGTTCCTAGTATATTCATCTAGCCTCAAACGATTGAGACATTTGACTAGAGTACATTGTCCAAAGACATCTTAGAAGGAAAATTTAAATATTGCATAAATTGGTTTTTAAAGTATAGCCAATTATGTGTTAATTCTCTTAGTGAAGAGACTCCTTATACATTGTTAATTACTATGAGGCTCTCACATTGCCTACAAGAGAAAAGTGATTCTAGTCACTGACTAGATAATAATCTCAATTTTGGAGCTTTGAAAAAATGTAGACGTGTATCAAGCTGTCCTACAGAATCTTTGGTGTTGGCACACATGTGTGTATTTTTAAATCTCCAAGCTTGAAAGCTTACGATAAAGGAAGAATTCCTCCTATTTTGGAAACAGTATTAAGAAATAGTTTTCAAAACTCACCAAAGCAGTTTTAAAAAATACTGGTGCTTAAGTTGAAACCCAAGATTCTGATTTCAGGGATAAAGGCATGACCTGAACATTAGGATTTTCTAAATACCTCCCAAGTTGATTCTGAGTAGAGAAGGACTCGGGCTTGGTACGGTGGAGGGGGCAACGAGAGCAAGGCCCTGGATGAATTGATTGACACAGGCTGTGAGTGGGCCCGAGCAGAGGAACGATTGTGAGGAGGATGCAGGACAGGGCAGTCAGTTTCTCCTTCTGTTGTGCATAGGTTTGCTATGGGTCGGAACTGACTTGGTAGCCCTAACAACATGCAGCAAAGTTTGAGATCCAGGGCCATAGAGAGTTTTAAAGCTCCCTACAAAAAGAAAAATATGCAGAAAGGTATAGTCAAGAGTATACAATGCCCAGCCTAGTATTTCATCTAGTTGAACTTAAAAAACAACAACAATGTCTTCTATTATATCATAATTCGTTTTCTTTTTTGAAAACAGGTACACTGGAGAACCTAGAAGAACTGTATTTGAATGACAACCCTAACCTGCACAGCCTTCCCTTTGAGCTGGCCCTCTGCAGCAAGCTTTCAATCATGAGCATTGAGAACTGTCCACTCAGTCACCTTCCACCGCAGATTGTTGCTGGGGGGCCTTCTTTCATCATCCAGTTCCTAAAGATGCAGGGTCCATATCGTGCCATGGTCTGATATAAATCCCCTGGTCCCACACACTGTTCAAAAATAGACTGCCATTAATGTTTCATATCTTTATCTGTATCTATTTATGTAGATAATGATATATATGGCAGATTTATAAAGACTGCATTATGTGTTTCTGCTAATAGAGGAATCATAGCCATTTAGATTTTTTTTTAAATTCTGTACAGAAGCTTATATAAGTTTTCTTTGCTGAACTTGATGGATGTTTTTTCTCGTGTAATCTGATATGCCAGTTTGCTTAAAACATTTGCCAACAAATTTATGAAGTTATTAAATGTAAGGAGCAGAGGTAGTATAGCTAGTATAGCTAGATATACTTTCTCTTGGGAAAAATGATGGGAATTTTGTTGCAACTTTTCATATACACTTTCCCCTTCCCAATTGTCATATCTTTATAGTATTAGAGACCCGGAGGTAGAATTTTTCTTTAACTTATTTTGAGGTTTGAGATTTAAATTTTATATATTGTTTACAGTCAGAGTAAATCACTGGATTATTTTTTTTTGTTATGTTTTGATTTGCTCTGTTTTAATCAATCAAGTCTAGAACTTATATCCTGCTGATGAATTAGAATCAGCTGGTTTAAATATCAAAAGCTATTTTCTTGGGGGAAACAGCTGGCAAAGTGAAAAGATGCAGTTAACAATTCCAGAATTCCTTCCATTGATGAGTTGTGAGGCAGAAATCTCTGAAGTGATTTTTGGGTACGGGGAGGGATGGGTACTAAGACCATTTCTAGTATAAATGACTTTTTCTTAAGTTTAGGGGAACAAAAACTTCTAGTGAGAAGTTTTCATTTCTGGAAATTGCAGATCCACATAAACTAACAATTTGAGGGTGAAAAATCACATTCTATATATGTATATACAATGCTATATAGATATGTATTTATTATATCATAAACTACAATAGGTAACTTTTAAGGATTTCTCCCTATCCTTGTACAATGAAATGAATGTTTTTCTTTAAACACTGCAATATATGTACGTTTCAAGGTTATTTAACAGTGTACTATGGTTTTATATCTTGACTTGCCTTGTACATCTTTCAATTTTGGAATATCTGCGTCTAAGCACAATATCTTCCCACTGTGCTGTATTGCTGCTGATCTAAATGCACTTTTCCCCACATGTGGGGCACTGGCTTCAAACAATTCAGTTCAGTACCATTCATTTTCGTCTCATCTTTGCTTTCTTGGTAGTTGTTATTAGAGTTATTGAAAAGAGGCACAGTGCACAGAAGCCTTGTCGGTAGTCCGTGGATGCTGTCAGATGTGATGTGCATGTGCTATTTGGTGTATTTTCTTTTGCTTTACTGCTTTTAAAGGCCAGCAGTATTGTAAGTGTGCGCCCCTTATACAGTACTCTGATTTTTGATAGTATTGGTCTAAGTCAGTTTAATCATTGAAGAGGCTCAAAGAACAAGTACATTCTAGACATCATCATGCTAAAAAAGATTTCCCTATAATGAATAACGATTAAGCATAATTATGTACTGCTGCTTTTTTTTTTTTGCCAATCAAATGGGCATTGTGTTTTAAACAAAAGATTTTTAAATTAGGGCTATAAAATATTAAGATACAAATTTGGAGTGTTGTTTTTATTTTCCCTTTGCATAAAAATTCAGAACTAGGTTTTCAGATGAACCGATCTTCTTAATTGGAGTTTTATAAGAAGCAATGTAGAAATGGAAGGCAGGTAAAGATATAAAATCCTAGAATGCTTAAATGTGCTGTAAAACTATTGTAGATGTCACTGGATTTTACCAAGTAATATCCTTCCTTCTTTTTCCCATCTACTGTGGCTTTTCAGTTAAGATTTTGTTTATAAAAGAAATTCGTTTATTACAGCTCTACCTAGAGCTCTCGTGTATGTGTTTTTTTTTTCAATCTCATATCCAGGTGTGTTTAAATATTAAGGTGATAGAACTTGAATTTAAAGTCAGTTCCTGATGACTTGTTGAAAATACCATATATACTCGGCCGAATATCAGCCGAAGCACCTAATTTTTCTATAAAAACTGCATTAAAAATGTGCTGAAAAACTTGGCTTATACACAAGTATATATGGTAAGTATGGTTATTATTTCTTGAAATGAAAATCGATATGGTTTCTAAAATATTTTGGTTCCCCTGCATCTACTTAATACATCTTTTACAGAAGTGCAAAACGACCCCAGTCTTAAATGCAGAAGGGATGCTACACGCAAACACTGTGTTGATAAGGAGTTATAGAAATGTTTGAGGAGGGGCTGGAGTGGAAAAAAAAAAAAAGAAAAGAAATGTTTGAGGAGCCTGAAACTTATGGCCTCTATATGACTCCCACCTTGAAAGAGGCCTTGAATTTCACTCCTACTCCTACTAAAACATGAAAATAAACTCTAATTAGGGTATCTTTGTGAGAGCAAGATATTGAATATTTAAGTAGTGAAATTTATGAGGAGACTCAAAAAGTATATGGGTAAATGGAATGGAAAGATACTGGAGTTTTTTCACAAACATTTCGAAGCTCCCTTGGACTAAAGGCTACTGTTGAATGTCTATATGAGCTAATACTTTTCTGCAAACGACAATTGGATTAATTGGCATATCCAAACAGTTCCTTTCTTAAAGAAGTTACAATTCTCTTTTCTCCAAGAGGCTCTTAGGAGTAACTAAAACAAGAATGACTGTAACCATCCTCTAAATTGTGCTTTTTGTTAATGTGCAGTGGCAAAATAGCAACATTAACAACAGACAGAGTTCCACTTGGGAGTTTAATGTTTTTTCACCTGGAGTCATCATTTCATACAAACAGAAGGGGGATGCTACACTGTGTGTGCACTTGATAGACAGAAGTGCGGGGAAATGCCCATAAGGTGTTTCTCTGGGTGTCCAGTGAAAGGGCGGACACAAACCACTGCTGACACGCCTCCCACTCATTCTCGACAGCCGGAGGACAGGCCGAGCAACCACCTGTTATTCCCGCCTCTCTCTCAACTTGGGAAACTGCCCACGCCCCACAGGAGGATTCTACACTGCAGACAGGCCAGTGGACTTGTCTGACGTTCCCCACCTAAAGACTGTAAGCAGCAACTCTGACTTCCAGGCAGCCTTTGACAGAAGGAATGGATCTTCACAGGACAGTTACAGATGGCTCGGGAGCAACTGAACGAGCAGGGTCGATCTGCCATTACGGAAAGGACTGAGGGGAACCACTCCATCACTCCCCCACCTCTATCCCCACCCCCACTTATGGTCTGGGAGACTTGATGTAAAAAGCTGATGTCCTGTGTCTGAAATGGTACAAATAAAATCTTACAGGCTAGCCACAACCTCCCCATCGCTCAAGTTGCTTCATGGTGGTATGTTTGCTTGTTTTGCCCCACAGGCAGGTGATGCTGTTGGAGCAAGCTCTGAACCTCTGTAGTTGCATATTTCCCATTATGTTGTACAGTCCTCCAACCTGGGTGTGCTGCTTTACATCACAAGTTAATCTTGTGTTTCAGGGGTAAAGTGTTTCAGAACTTTTGCTTTTCATTTTTTCTAAGCCAGGTGTGTGGATTCTGGTTTTGGCGTGCAGAATTTTAATTGTCTAGGAACAAGAATGGGTCATGATTAAGTGTGTGACATGGAACTGTAGAAGCAGCACGTTGGCACATCATTGGCCCAGTGGGCAAACACCAGAACTTCCAGGTAAATGGGGATATGTGAGTTGGTGTAAGCGAATGGTACAATCCAAAATACACAGAGAAGAATACATTCCTGATCACTATCTTATTTAACTGAGTAAATTTCCTGTACCATAAGGGAAGGTAGCGTGCCAATTACCATAACTTAGAGTGATTTTACTTTTTGACTAGTGTCAGCTTCTAGGCTTGAATTAGGGAAAAGCATGACTGTCGGCCTTTGGTTATAAATAGCAGATTCTGAATATTCAAGAGCTGTGACACTGATATGGTATCTAGAGCTGTCTCTCGAACGTTGTATTATGAGAATGCTTTATAAAACAGCCACATTTTTTATTGAACAGAGTGTCTCCTAACAATCTGAGGAAACTTGTGGGGTTGTTCGTGAACTTTTTTTGTTGTTGTTGTTCATTTTATTGGGAGCTCTTACAGATGCCATAACATTCCATAATTCAAATGCAGCTAGAAAGGTTTTTTTCTGACTTAGAATTATAAAAATATTGGCATTGTCCATTATCCAGAAACACACACTTACCAGTAACCCAACTGGTACTGTTTATTCTAAATATGGTTTTGGATATAGATGTCTGTCTGTGATGGCTTCCGATGGATAGCAGTTAGGGTCAGCCCTGGACACTTCAAAGTTTGACGGGAGAAATAGTTTCCACTGTTGAGAGAAGTCAGACCTGGAGCATTGGGTACGGGTTTTGCAGGCCGTGCAGTGGACCACAGTGGACTTAATAAATCAGCATGTGTTACAGGTTTTATAACAAACTCGGTAGGCAACAGATGAAGTAAAGAGTCTGGAAGAAGTATTTTCTCTTCCTTTGCCCAAAAGTGCTCGGTAAGCTAGTGGCAACTGTAAGTGGCAGGGAGAGGCCATTTTTGTGCAATTATTAAAGCTTTACCGTAACACTCCTAATAACAATCGAGTAATATTTACATAGCAGGCCAAGCATTGTATATTTTAGGAGTAGTCCTTACAATGGTATGTCTTGTAAAGTCTACTTGGAATCTGTGTATCCTTTAACAGAGATTATTTAAAATCACTCACATTCTGTGTGTGACCTAATGTACCCTTTTTCGTGGTGATGTTTGTGTGGAGAATTTATCCTTCCACAGGTCTGTTGGCACTTAATATCCAAGTAGCTGTAAATCTGTCCATCTAGGTAGCACTCCAAGACCTAGTGTTCACTATTAAAAGGGATGTTAAATGGATGGCTCAAATTTCTCTAAATCGTAATGTTCAATTGAAAAGCATGATTATATAATTTTTCTTCATTTAACGTTTTTCTTTTCTCCCACCCACTTCAGAATCTAATATTAGCGAGTTCAGAAAGCTCTTGGCATTGCTAAGAATGCAACAGCCTTTTGTATGGTCTGTGCTGCCCTCCAGTTAGACTATAATCTACATGTCAGACGGACTTCTCACCGGCTGTGGAGTCATCTGCACCACCCACGGCGTCCAAGGCAGTTAGGACGGCACAGAGAGGACGGGCTCTGGAGGCAGTGTTTACATTGAGGTTTTCTCCCCGCAAAGGTCAGTCTGCTGCTGCTGCTGCTGCTGCTGCTGCTGTTAGCACAAGCTTCGCACTGTGGTAAATATTTAGCCACGCTGGAGCATTCTTCAGAGTAACAGGTGTAAACAGGCTTCAAAACCACATTTCTAACTGGAATTATGTTGTCGATTATTTTGCCTAGGGGAGAAGAAACCCTTTCTAGTAAGTCATTCTTAATATATTAAATATTAAGATATTTAATAATAAATAATGAAATATTCTGACATGAAGTCTTTTAACAGGCTTGCAGTGCTAAGTGTAACATGAATACATCTTTAAGAGCCTCTAAGTCATGAAAATGCAGATGTGAGAAACATGGTTTTTCACTCTCCTTTAATTTTCTGGAAAACCTTGAAAGAGCAAATGGCAGTCATCCAGTGTCCAAAAACTAAGTGTGAAAGGAAGTATTTCCATCAAGAAAAGCCAAAGCTACAACCATTGGGTCGAAGAGTTTCAAGACTAAGTGTATAGGCGAAGAGCCGGCCTCACAGTTTCTGGGCAAAGCACTTGGCGGGTTGGAGCTGCTGACCTTGCCTAGCTGAGAGTGCGGCCAGGGCTTCTGTGTGTGGCCAACAGTATACTTCGATGCAACGGTTTTAATTTACTATTTTACAAAACCCCCAAACTAGTTTTTAAAACATACTATTAAGAGTCATAACATGAACAGATGTGCTCAGTGCAGCAAGTGTTCACAGCAGTAAGAAGATGAAAACCCTGAACGTCTGCCAGTGGAAGAATGGATGGAGACGGGGGCACATACACACAGTGGCCTACTCTGCATTGCTCAACAATAACCATGAAACCATGGAGTGCCTCATGACCTCAGTGGGCTTAGGGAACTTAGTCAAGCACAAAAGGACAAATATGAGACCATTTCTAAAAGGGGAAAAATACTAAAAGTCCAGATAAAAACTTTCATAGCAAAGGGAACATACTTTGGAAATTGCCGGTGGGGAAGGGCAAAAAGGAGAAGATACAGCAAACGACAGATGCTAACGGGTGAAAGGGAAGAGAAGTCAAGAACTGGGTAGAGAGTAAATTAGGATGTTGGGGTAGTATTGAAACCATTGACTACAAAGTTGATCTGAATGTAAACTCCCCATCTAACAATAAATTCACCTTGGGGGGAACCCCCCCTCCGAGAACCTAAGGAGCCCTGGGGGCCCTGTTGGAAAGTGTCCGGCAGCCACCAGTAAGGCTGACGATGGATATGCACCCACCAGTCAATCACAAGAGGACAAAGGAGACCAACGGCCAGTCCACAGCAGGAAGTTGTGACTGGATGGAGCCCAGAACGATTTGCTGTGTGTTGGAATCGAGTCTCTGGTAGTGGGTTTTTGAATTGAGCCAAGAACCAAGCTTTTGCAGTTTTAGCAAAATTCCGGCCTAGGGAGAGAATGAGTGTCTGGGAGAATCACAGTTCTAAATGACACTGAAAATACCCTGATTCGAAAAAACGCTAATGTGAAATACAAAACGACTTAAATGATTCGGATGTTGATAACACATTTTCGTACAATAAATTATTTAGATTTAAGTTCATCTGTCATTTTTTGAATGGAAAATGTTCACCGTAAATTACCAGTCTCTTGTTCTGTTTGAATGACTCAAAAGGTGCCCCTACTTTCTTAGGAT